TGCATGAAAAATGGGACTGATGTCATGATCTTAGTGTTTTGAATATTGAGTTTTAAGCTAGCTTTTTCACTCTCTTCTTTTACCCTAATCAAGATGCTCTTTAGCTCCTCTTCACTTTCTGCCATAAGAGAGACATCATCTGCATATTTGAGGTTGTTAATATGTCTCCTAGCAATCTTGATTCCAGCTTGTGATTCATCCAGCTCAGCATTTCTTATGATGTATTCTGCATATAAGTTAAATAAACAGTCTGACAATATACAGCCTTGACACACTCATTTCCCAATTTTGAACCAGTCTGTTACTCCATTTCCAGTTTTAACTGTTGCTTCTTGACAGACATACAGGTTTCTCAGAAAACAGGTAAGGTGGTCTGGTACTCCCATTTCTTTAAGATTTTCTGCAGTTTGTTGTGATCCTCAGTCAAAGGTTTTAGTGTAGTCAGTGAAGCAGAAGTAGATGTTTTTTTGGAACACCTTTGCTTTTTCCATGATTCAATGAATGTTGTCAATTTGATCTCTACACTTACAGTAGTAATACAAGGACCATTGCTGTTTAGATGTGCAGGCTTTAGGGAAGTGATTAGGTCACTGAGGCTTGGCTTTGCCCTAATGAACTGGATTAGTGCCTGCGCATGTTTAGTCATGTCCAACTCTGTGACCCCATGGACTGTAACCCGCCAGGCTCCTCTGTCCATGTGGTTCTCCAGGCAAGAATACTGGAGTGGGTTGTCATTTCCTCATCCAGGGGACATTCACTATCCAAGGATAAAGCTCAGGCCTCCTGCATTGCAGGAAGATTCTTTATTTTCTGAGCCACTAGGGAAGCCTATGAACTGAATTAGTGCCCTCATAAAAGAGCCCGGGGCACTCCATTGCCCCATGTAATGTACAACAAAAAGACCTATATGATGCACAACAAAAGATAGCCATCTACGAACCCGAAAGAATGCTTTCATCAGAACCCAATCCAATCTTAGACTTCCAGCTTTCAGGGCAGTGATAAATAAATGCCAGGTGTTTATAAATCATTTGCTTATGTTATAATTACTATAACAGTCCAAACAAGCTAAAACAATAATCAACATAATGTTCAGATATCAACAGAATTTTCACCAAAAGACCATACATGAAAGAATATGTTCTGTTTGATTCCACTTATGTAAAATTCAGAAAAAGACACAAACTACAGAGTGCTAAAAATAAAGATTCATCTAACTTGAGGGATACTGACACAGGAGATGAGAAGTTTGTCTGATGTAGTGTTGTTCTTCTACTTGGTTTAGAGGTTTGGTCATAAAGGCATTTTTGCTTTGTAAAAATTCAATAAGCTGTAAACTTATGTTTTGTGCGCATTTTGAATGTGTACTATAAGGGTTTGAAATATATTAAACATGCTACTACTCTTCAAAGAAGTAAAGCTTTCTTTGAATATTAAAGCAGTCTCTTTGTCTACAGAAGGAAGAACGTAGTTTGCGAGGGCTGCTCTAACTAAGTACCATGGACAGGGTGGTTTAAACAAAAGAAACTGATTTCCTTCCAGTCTGGAGAATGGTAATTCAGAATTGAAGTGTTAGTGGGGTCAGTTTCATTCTGAAACTTCTGTCTGGCTTATAGACGCCCACCATCTCCTGTGTCTCTCACAGTCTTTCCTGTGTGTATTTTTGTGTCCTAATCTCCTTTCTTAAAAAAGATACCAGTCATCTTGGGTTAGGATGCACTCATCTGAACCCATCACGACTTAATTTCCTTTTTGAAAACTATGTCTACAAATTCAATCATATTCAGAAGTACTGGGAGTCAAGATTTCGATAGATATTAAGTAAACTATTCAACCCATAACCCAAAGTGAGATGGTAATAGGTTGTGGCACAAAGTTATGATAACTGTGTGGAAAAAATTGTGCTAAATTGGATTAAGCAAATATTACAGGTAACAAAATATGGCATGAGTATCGATGGCAGACATCAATATTATGATGTGGGCTTCCCAATGAATGAAGAAAAATATTGACACTGAATCTAAAAAAACAAAAGAAAACGCTAGAAAGTAGTTGGGTCCCATGGCAAATCTGCATTGTACCCAGTTGTTATTTCTCCAGAGAACTCATTTAGGGAAAAACATTATCTAACAAAGTAATTACTTAATGCTCACCTATATGTGTAATCTCTTAGGGATATGTTATCAATCTACAAATAATATAAGTTCAGCCTGCATTATTCAGCAGAAGAGCCATGACATTGATATTCTTTCTAAAGATGGCTCTTCCTCCATAGGTATGTAGACTTCTGTATTATACATTTATTTATAACCATCAAAACTCTACTTTCTTATAGGGACAATCATGTGCATTACCAAAACTAGAAAACTAGAGTTAATGATTCATAAAAGACAAGATGGAAAAAGGAAATGCCAATGGCCAGAAAAGTGTGGATATTTACTATTTTAGGTACTATTACTTATAAAGTGCATTAAGTCGTTTAGGTGGATGATAAGGAAATTGAAATATATTGAATGCCATTTTCTATGATTCTTTATTTAATGACTTATAGCTACCATTTATTGAGGACTAGCCAATCCATGGAGGTACAAATTGTCAGAAATGACCGAGTATGCACACATACACAGACACGTATGGAGAACAATATTTTCCATATTGCATACTTTATATTGTATAATCCTCAAAATAACCCTACTCATATAAGTAATCCATTTTGAGGGAAAAAAAAAAAAGATGAAGCCTATAAATATTAAGAAACAGTGTCCTGAGTGCTTGGATCAAAATTGCTAAAGCCAGAATGGGAATTAAACAAGTTGACTCCACAGCCCATGTTTTTACCAGTCATTTCTATGGCACATACATTATTTCCTTCTGTACTAAACCTGAGAACTATAATACTGGATGTTTCTCTGATGGACAGAATACTAATGGTTGGTTTGAGAGTTAAATGAAGTATTATTTAAACACGCTTAGATCAGAACTCGTCCTATAAGATACCTTGATCTCAGTGCTTTATAAATATTCATTTGTTTAATCTTCAAACCCACCCTACAGCATCCTGTTCCTCATTAGATATGGATTTAAAACATGGACTCCTATGATTAAATGGAAGTGGATCCAAATATACTTTGATTTTGAGAAATAAAATACCACATGCCCTATCAGTAAACCAAGGATGTCACTGCCACTGGTGATTTGCAGTCCTACAAAGGTGAGCCAGTGAGCCCTGAGGGCAGTCAGGAAGGAAACAAAGAATATCTGATATCTAGAGGGCTTGCCGGGTAGATCAAACTGTAAAGTATCTGCCTGAAATGTGGGAGACCGGGGCTTGATCCCTGGGCAGGGAAGATCCCTGGAGAAGGGCATGGCACCCCCCTCCAGTACTCTTGCCTGGAGAATTCCTTGGACAGAGGAGCCTGGCGAGCTACAGTCCATGGGGTCGCAAAGAGCTGGACATGACTGAGTGACTGACAATATAACGCTAGCAGCCGTCAGACTGCAGCCGCCACAGATGGCAATCCCTGAGGACACTCAGAGTTTGAAAATGCATGATACTGGCCCCAAATAGCTGAGAAGGATGTCAAAGGAATGGTTTCAGTGAGCCCAGATTCTTGCACATCCCCATACAAAGAAAAGTGATAAATTTGAAACTTTTCTTAACTGTAAATTCTTATTCCTACTACCTGCCCTTCATTGCAAAACATTCTATCTACCCTAGATCACCCAGTATCCTCCTTTGAGAAGTTTTCTCAAGGTAGCTTGGGAGGCTGCCTCCTGTGTTTGGAATCCTAAATATTTCTGCCCAATAAAACATAAATCTCAACTTTTAGGTTGTGCATATATAGATTCAAAGATTTGCTTTCTGTATCATGTTCTTAGTGAATATAGATGAACTCTACATAGAAAAGCAAACACTCAACTTTTAGCCATTATTATTAATATGAGCTTTTGTTATTTTATTTCTTGCAACAACGGAAGTCACCTGTAGGTATCTTAAGCACAAGCAAACTGTTCTGGAAAGACATGTCGTATTCCAAATCAATGTGCTGCCACAATACCAGGCTTAGAGAACAACCCAGGCAGTTTGGAGGCTAGACAGCTCAGACTTCATAGAGTCAGTCTTCTTTTGCTGAATCAATCTGATCATTAAAGCTCACTGCAGTCAATGAAATGTAAAAACATTTTGTGCACCTTGCGTCACTAATTTACTCAATAAGATATATAGGAGCAAGCATCTGATTTCAGCCTATTCCTCTATGAATCAGGACTCTTGGCCCTCAGATGTCACAGTGCAGAAGAGAGAGACCAGGAGGATGGGATTTCCGTCACTGCTGACTCCATGCAGTGGGAAAGCCTCTGCAAAAGAATCCTAGCAGGATTCTACTGGTAGGAGAATCTAAAAGCTGGCCAACAGCCGAAATGCAATTATGGGCATATTTTTGAAAAAGTGAAGACAAAAGTTCCAAACTTGTTCAATTTAATTATTTTGGATTCTCCAGTAAGGAACTGGTTAGGTAAACTTATCTAAAATGTATAAGGTCATTTGGGAAAATATTTCCTTTGATCCTCCATCTTTTTTTTTTTCCTTTTAAACTCTCATATCTTTATATAATTGGAGATAAAAATGAGTAAACCTGAGGGTGGTATCTGGGATCAAGCATGCACATGAAGTATGTTTTGCAAATAAAAGACCAGGGCCAAGAAAGACAAGGAGAAATTAGAGAAAGAAAACAGTAAATAAATCCTAATTAGATAGGAAATGAAAAATAAGGAAATGAAAAGTATAGGGCTATATCAAAAGAAGAAAGAGCTGCCTTGAATACCACTAGATTCCAGTCCCAGGCTGAGATTATGTTTACTTAGAATGAACACCAGTTGAAATAGTGTGAAAAAAAATTGCTGAGAAGGAAAAGAAATTAGTAAGAAGATCATGAGTGACATAGTAATGTTTATTTTTCATTTTCCTGTTATCCAATATAAATACACAGATCTCTCATCTCATGGAGCAAATTATGAGAAGAAACATCACTTCAGTGACTGAGTTCATTCTCCTTGGACTGACCAGTTGCCTGGGATTGCAGATTCTCTTCTTTGTGCTGTTTTTGGCCATTTACATAGCCACGGTGGCAGGGAATTTGGGCATGATTGTCCTCATCCAGATTAATGCCCACCTCCACACCCCCATGTACTTTTTCCTGAGCCATTTATCCTTTGTAGATCTGTGCTTCTCTTCCAATGTGACTCCCAACATGCTAGCAATTTTCTTATCAGAGAAGAAAACCATTACTTACTCTGCTTGTCTGGTGCAGTGTTACTTGTTTATTTCCTTGGTCCATGTGGAGATCTATATCCTGGCTGTCATGGCCTTTGATCGGTATATGGCCATCTGCAATCCCCTGCTTTATAGCAGCAGAATGTCAAAGAGTGTGTGCGCATCCCTCATCACAGTACCTTATGTATATGGAGCGCTCACTGGGCTAATGGAGACCATGTGGACCTACAACCTAGCCTTCTGTGGCCCTAATGAAATTAATCACTTCTACTGTGCTGACCCACCGCTGATTAAGCTGGCTTGTTCCGACACCTACAACAAAGAACTGTCCATGTTTGTTGTGGCTGGATGTAACCTTTCCTTTTCTCTTCTCATCATGCTGATTTCTTATCTTTATATTTTTACTGCTATCCTGAGGATTCGTTCCACAGAAGGCAGACGTAAAGCTTTCTCTACCTGTGGCTCCCATCTGACAGCTGTCACCATCTTCTATACAACTCTTTTCTTCATGTATCTTAGACCTCCTTCAGAGGAGTCTGTGCAGCAGGGGAAAATGGTGGCTGTGTTTTATACCACAGTGATCCCCATGTTGAACCCCATGATCTACAGTCTGAGGAACAAGGATGTGAAAGAAGCTTTGATGAAAGAACTGTTCAGCAGGAAACTGCTAAGTAAATAGAGTGCGAATTTTATTATTTTTATTTTCTATATCCAATGACTATTCTTAGTCCAGTAATAATTTGTCCAAATGTATATCTTTTTCTTGGGGGACATTTCCATGGAGAAAGTTGGACTAAAAAGAAATCTGAGAACCCATGTCATTGGACAGGAATTTTGAATCCTTCAACAAAGCTTTGCTTACCCCAATCCAAATGTAAAGACCTTTTTGTGGTTAGTTGCTAAATTGTGTCCGGCTCTGCAACCCCAAGGACAGAAACCTGCCAGGATCCTCTGCCCATTGAATTTTCCAGGCAAGGATACTGGAGTGGGTTGCCATTTCTTTCTGCCAAAGACCTGTATAGAGAAGGATAAATATCAGTGGAAAATCCAGTTTACACCTTGGAGAATAAAACCATTAACACTTCCTTTTTTGGAGGAAATGAGTCACATAGCTTTAGACTCTCTTATTGGGGAAAAATTGCTTTAAAATGTAATTAGTGCATTGTAAAAAACTTATTTCAACTCAGCTTTATTAAGTATGCCTTCCTTAGCACTGAAAGCCAGCACTTGAATTGTAAGAGAGGGGAAAATTCCCCCCCCCCCATTTCCTTTGATTTTGTTTTTTTTCTGGTCACATAAGTAAACTGACACAAGACAAAGGGAAAACATTAATTCATGTGCACTGAGGTCTCAAAGAAATGAGACGCCCAAAGTAACCAAAGCAAACTGTTTCTATATCAGTTTTAGACAGAGACCTAATTATTTATGGAAACTTAACAAAACAAAGGGACTTTTGCTCAGGGTAATGAACTAATCAAAAATAATAGTTTTTAAATGCAGCTTTCTTACTCTTGAATTCTCTACCCCTGTTGATAAGGACACTTTCTCTCCTCATGGTGTAAGGAGGATATTTTCACATGGGATATTTCCTTCCTATTTTTGAGGAGAAAAGGAGGTTCAGACTTTTTTTAACATACATTTTTTCATTACCTATTTTTCCAGTAACCTTAATTCAAAATAATCAATATATCCTGTGATATATTTTGGGATGAACTTCCCTAAGCCCATAAGTCTCATCCCTTTTTACTTACCTGTCAACTTTGTTCTTTTGTCGATTTGCAGGTCTAGGTTTACAATGGTTTCATGAGTTGTCAAATAATAAGCCAAAAAGTGAATTTAAAGGAATCCTAGTTTAGAAGAAGCTTCACGGGATTGAAACAAACAAACACAAATGCAGGACAGAACGATCAACTGTCAATCAGTCCAGTTCAGTCGCTCAGTCATGTCTGACTCTTTGCGACCCCGTGAATCGCAGCACGCCAGGCCCCCCTGTCCATCACCAACTCCTGGAGATTACTCAAACTCATGTCCATCGAGTCAGTGATGCCATCCAGCCATCTCATCCTCTGTTGTCCCCTTCTCCTCCTGCCCCCAATCCCTCCCAGCATCAGGGTCTTTTCCAATGAGTCAACTATTCGCATGAGGTAGCCAAGGTATTGGAGTTTCAGCTTCAGCATCAGTCCTTCCAACGAACACCCAGGACTGATCTCCTTTAGGATGGACTGGTTGGATCTCCTTGTAGTCCAAGGGACTCTCAAAAGTATTCTCCAACACCACAGTTCAAAAGCATCAATTTTTTGGCGCTCAGCTTTCTTCACAGTCCAACTCTCACATTCATACATGACCAGTGGAAAAACCATAGCCTTGACTAGATGGACCATTGTTGACAAAGTAATGTCTCTGCTTTTTAACATGCTATCTAGGTTGGTCATAACTTTCCTTCTAAGGAGTAAGCGTCTTTTAATTTCATGGCTGCAGTCACCACCTGCAGTGATTTTGGAACCAAAAAATAAATAAATAAATAAAGTCTGACACTGCTTCCACTGTTTCCCCATCTATTTCTCATGAAGTCAACTATCAATCACTCAAACTTAAAAAACCTTCCACAGATAAAGTCCTTGTTCATGTAAATTTGCAAGAAAATACAGGTGAATACTCTCAACATCACATATTAAAATTACATGATACAAATTATAAGAAAAAACACTTAGCAGTTAAAAGAAATAAAGGTTAGCATTGAAACTACAGACCTATAAAGATTATGAGGAACAACTAGAACTTGCAAAGAAACTATCTAGAAGAGTACAAGGAAAATAAGCTTCCGTGAATGAGAACAAACTTGTGACTAAACATACATAAAATCAGACTATATAGAGCAAAAGTATATAACTTGTGGGTTCAAAAGATAGAATTGACTTATTGCTAAACAAATTATAAAGAGGGAGGAAGAAATTGTAGCTAAAAGGATTTTTAATCGGCAATTTTAAGGCAAAAAAAAACACATTGGGTAACTTCAAGGTTAATTAAGTTTAATGCAGTTGTTAAAATACCAATGTTATTAGTAAAATACCAAACATAGAGTCTATTTTGCAAGTAATTAGAAGATTAATAAATAACAAATATATAGTGTTAACTATTTACCAAATAATAATCAACAGGTATTTTACATTTTTTTTCCAGATATTTATAGATATGCTGTCAACAGTCATTGGAACAGCTGAGACAGGTGATCTTATTGTTTCAGGTCTTTACTTCGGAAAACCTGAAAGAGTGCCATTAAGTGACTTGCCTGATTACAAAGGGAGTGAGTGGTAGAACTGGAAAACATGTTACCTGACTCTAATTCATTACAGTTCATTAGACTATTCCTCAATTAATCCACAACTGCATGAAAAAATGAATAACAGGTTATGAACAGGTAGGTTCTGCACAAAAATTTTCAAAGAATGAAGTAACAGGCCACATGTGTTCAACTTCAGGAGTGATTAGGGAAATGCAAATTATGACTTTAAGATAGTTGTATCTATACACATAATCCAGCATAGAAAAAATAGTAATAGCACATCTTACAAGATTAAATACTGGTGAGACTATGAAACAACAGAAGTCACGAGGGCTTGCCCTTGGCCTCATGAAATGGATCTGTGCTCCTCTAGTAGACGTAGGAGAACCACCTTGCCTTCTATCATGTGAGGACACTGCAAAAAGACTGCCGCCTATGATCCAGGAAGCAGGCTCTCATCAGAACCCAACTTGAACTTAGACATCCTGCTTCCAGTCAATGAGGGAAAAATTTTATTTGTTTACAAGACACTTTTTTATGGTATTTTTTTTTATTAAACCATCCAAACAAACTAAAGCAATCACCAGCGTAATGTCCAGACATCAACATAGTGTTCCACAAAATATTTTACATAGAAGCCAATTTATTCTTTGATTCCAGCTATGTGAAATTCAGAAACAGACACATTAATTATAGCATTAAAAGTGAGAATATAGTTAACTTGAAGGATAGTGAGTGCAAAAAGAGGTGAGGAGCATGTCTCATGTAGGGTTAATCTCTTTGATTCAGATGTTTGATCTTACAGGTATATTTATTTTGTAAAAAATCCACTAACCTGTCCAGCTATGTTTTGTGTACATTTTCTATGTGTGTATTAAACTTTGTTATAAAAGTTACTTAAAAACAATTAAAAATAAAGCTAGTATCCTAAGAAGGAAAGCTTCATCCCAATATCAAAACATTCTGTTTGTCTATAGAACACAGAATATATTAATTTGCTAGTGCTGCCATTAACAAAGCGTGACAGACTAGATGCTGAGACAAGCGAGATTGATTTCCTTCCAGTTTGGAGGCTGAAAACTCAAGGTCAAAGTGTCAGCAAGGGTAGTTATTTCTGAAGCTCCTGTCTGGCTTGTAGATGGCTGTCATTCTCCTGGCTCAGTATTCAGTTTTTCCTCTGAGCATTTCCATGACCTGATCTCCTGTCATCTTGAGTTGGGACCCACTCATATGAACTCATGACACTTTAATTTCCTCTTTGAAGACTCTATCTCCAAATTCACTCCTATGCTGAGGTACTGGGGATCAAGACTTCAATATATGGGTTTTAAAGAGACATGATACATCCCATAACACAAAGTGAGGTGGCAATAAACTGTGACACAAAACCATGTGAATGGTGTGGAGGAAATTCAGCTAATACATAGAAAACAGAAGGTATGACCATCCATGGATAGACATCAGTGTCATGGTGTGGACTTCCCAATGACTGAAGAAAAATATTGAGACTGACCATAAGGAAGAAAAACGCTAGACAGTGGTGTGAGACCTTTTGATGGTATTTCAGGGGGCTCTGAGGAGCTCCAGTCCTATATGCCTCAACACAGAACAAATTCAATTAGAGGCAAAATGATAGATAAGTTGTGATTTATTAGAATAAGACATGTGAGACTTAAAAACAGGCAGATGGTATGGCTCTGTGTCCTGAGAACTTAGTGGGTTGCAGTTTTATAATGCAAAGAAAAGTG